TTCAGTATCTCCAAAGATGGAGACTCTACAGCCTCTCTGGGCAGCCTGTTCCAGTGCTCAGTCACCCTCACAGTAAAAAAGTGTTTCCTGATGTTCAGAGGGGACCTCATATGTGTTCAGTTTGTGACCGTTGTCTCTGGTCCTGTCACTGGGCACCTCAGCAGCCTGGCTCAATCTTCTTTGCATCTCCCCTTCAGGTATTTATGTATATAGAGAAGATCCCTGTAAGCCTTCTCCTCTCCAGGCTGAACAGTCCTAGCTCTCAGCCTTTCCTCCTAAGAGAAACGCTTTTGTGCCTTAATCATCTTCGTGGCCCTTCATTGGCCTCTATCCAGTATGTCCATGTTGCTCTTGTACTGAGGAGTCTGGAACTGGACCCAGCGCTCCCGGTGTGGTCTCACCAGTGCTGAGTAGAGGAGAAAGATCACCTCCCTTGACCTGCTGGCAACACTTCTCCTAATGCAGCCTAGGAGACTCAGCTGCCTTTGCTGCCAGGGCACACTGCTGGCTTGTGTTCAACTTGGTGTCCACCAGGACCCCCAGGTCCTTTTCTGCCAAGCCGCTTTCCAGCTGTGTCGCCCCCCGTATACAGTGGTATGTGGGACAGATTCAAGTCTGTCGGTTTCTGGCAAACTATAATTTCTGTTCAAGTCATTTCCTAACTTTTTTAAATTTCAGTTAGTTATGATACGGGGTTGTTTTTCAGGTCTGGCAGCTTCAAAAAAAACCCACCTGAAATACAGCAACTCTTAGTTTAAGATAGTCAGAATTTACAGAGGATATTGCAGAAGCATTAATAAATAATAACTGTTCCAAAATGTCAAAAATGTCTTCATCAAAGATGAAAAACTGAACAGAAGGTCAAGTATTACTTTGATTTTTTTCTCCTCAAAGATCAAAAGGTAGAAATCAAGCCTCAAATAAGCTTAATACAAGTAAAGGAAAATGCAACTACACCCATACATAGGGTTGTATGTACAGAAGGGAAGATAATGAGTGAGCTTTCCTTGGCTTATTTGGGGAGAAGTGTGCAAAGAGAAGGAAATTTAATGGGTTTTATAATCCTTACTTCAAGTCTCCAAGGTTGTCATAATAAAAAACTCCTATCATTCCTGACAGATGGTCTGTTTATTCTTTACTAACCTTTACTGATATGCAAGATAACTAGCTGAGACCTCACAGACACTGAGCAGAGGGGACTGTTTCCTTCACAGGGCCTATATCGTTTCACAGGGTCCATACTATTTAAACAGGAATGTAGACGGGAGTAAGGAGACCTGCATGATTTGTCTGTCAACTTCGTGACAAAACTCATCAATTATCAGTGGCCACTGTTGTTGTAAAAATTAAATTTTAGTCTGAATAATGGTTGGTTTCTTTCTTTTAAATTAACCTTTTGACATTGAACAGTTCTGAATTAAGATTATCCTTAACTTCAGAGCATGGAAGAGCTGGAGAAGAGCAATGAAAATCTTCTAGCTGGTGCTCAAAGTGAACTTCGCAAAGAAATGGCTCTCTTGCAGAAGAAGATTATGATGGACACCGTAAGTATCAGATCTATGAAGCAGTTAGTTAAATGCAAAAATAGAACATTCTATAAAAAAGTCATTTGACATTCATTTAATTAACTCAAAGGAATCATAGTGATACGGCATTTGTTCAGTATTATCTCCTTTTCTTGTAACAGCAACAACAGGAGATGGCAACCGTTCGCAAGTCTCTTCAGTCCATGTTATTCTGATGGCTCAATGGAGAAACAACTTGTACCTAAGTAACATGATACAAGTATAGGCATTAGCCATAGAGAAGTATGTTCAGATTTAAATGTTTTCAAGTTCCTATTAAACGCTTTCATGGATTGTTCTAATCTTGTCTCTGATAATGTTGTAAGAATGTATATTAGTACATTTATTACTTGGGGGGGGAAGGTGTGGACCCCAAACCATTTACTATCTGTCCAATTAATTTTTAACTACTTAATGCTCACTTTCAGTATCATTGGCCTGTTTAAATGGTTTCACTTTTTATAATGCCAGATTGTAATAATAGGCAGAATTAATGAAAAAGGCATTACCCAGATTTTACATAATAACTTTAGGCCTTTAGGTACATTGTGCAAATAGAAGCGTTTTTCACAAGCTGCAGACTTTAAGATATTCATCATTTCAGCATTTAGTCTGCTGATGTATCAGCAGTTATAAAATTTCACAGAGTATGACATAGCTCATGTAAGATTGTTTAATGTGTATTATGGTAACTTAAAGTAAATTTTAACTTTTGTAGGCTAGGCATTGTAATATCTTTGTACTAGTAAAGAGATTTATGCACTGCTGTAATTTCTCCAAAGAGCAGGTTTCTTTCGTTGAATGATGAGCTGAGTATCACAGCTTTATATGACATCTGCTCAAGTAAGCATAATTAAACATTATGCATTTTGGCGTATATAGTTCTTGGTAGAACCACTGCTAGAACTAATCATGCTCATTTATTTAGTACAAGTTATTACAAGCCTTTGAGATGGAGTATTACTTTTTGCAAATCCAAACGACTAGCAGTTTAGGGAGGCCTAAGTTTTAAGGATAACGCATTTCTCTTTCATGTATCTCATGACAGTATGTCAGTATATATTAAACAATCGGCTTAGCTGGCATGCAGTTTCTTTTTACAGAAAACCATTACACCTGAATACCCACTTTTACAATTTAAGTAGTTCCTAACATATTTAATGCTTAGATTTAATACACTAGTAGATAAACCAAAAGCCATCCACACACCCACACAAACTTGATGTTTTCATAACAGTGTATTTCAAAACCAGTCCATACAGATTCTTCTCCTCAGCTTACTAGCATTTTTAGTTCGGAATCGAGTAATTTGATAATGGTTCTGCAGTTCTGGGAGCCAGATTACTGATAGCTGACCTACAGATACTTCAGCTATTAGGCTGCAACTGAAGTTGAACAAGAAACTGGTGCAGAGCTCTTCTTGTTCTGCGTCTCCTAGGGCTCAGGGAAGGAGCAAACACAAAAGTTACATCGCTAGAATGATGTATGAGACAACATGGGCTTCTGGTGGGTAACAACTAACTGTGCTAATTTGTAACCGTGCTGCTGAGTCTCAGCCCCCTAAGGATGGCTAGATGATGCTACGAAGTACAGTTAACAGTTTTTGCTTCCTATCTTCAGTACTAGGTTATTTGTTAGTATTGCCTTATGTTTCTGGTTTTATTTGTTAGTATTGCCTCATGCTTCTGGTTTTCTGACCAATTTATGCATTAGCTTCTTATCATCCACAGACCTCAATCATATCCTTAAAACTACTTACACCCAGTACTACATGACCCACTTTTGAGCACTCTGGGGAACCAAACCTTCTCATCTAAAAAAGCTGCCTCTGTCTTTTCATCAGATGTGTAATTTGTTTACAGTATTCATACAAACTGAAATGGTCTTTACTGTCTTCTTATTTGCCCATGGCCTGGCTGCAGGCTAAGGTCAGCTGTCAATGCTGTGTCTTTCCCAGCCTCAAACAGGAGTGGTATGATTCATTTGGAATTGGTATTAGTCACTTAGAGAGCTAGTCCTTGGCAGTAACTGTTACACTTCAGGGGTAACTGTAACAGTATATCCTTCTTAGGCAGGAGTGTGGGAGATGGCATCTTATGCCCCCCAAATTTAGCAGGCAATACGCCATTTTTAAAGCTCCTTGTACACCTCAAGAAGTCTTTTTGAATTAATGTGCAGCTAGGAAGCTGCAGTGGTAATATTTTTAAAACGAACCATAGCATTCTTTATTGTAAAGTTCAGGAAGGACTTTATAAGCTCACAGCCAGCTATGTATCAGCAACTGAAAGTGGTAACAGACACAAACATTCAATGGCTTTTTACAAAAATCATACTCAAATAGTACCTCTTTAAGGGAGGTTAAGCTTAGAGGGTTTGTGTACAAGTCATGAGTTTCTTGTACAGATAATAAGCTACTTCTATTCAGCTTTTCTTTAATGACAACAGCAGCCCTTCAGCTAGGCATATTTTGTTAGCCAGTGGGTCTGTTCTTAAAGAAAGAAAAAGGCTGACAGTGGGCCTCACTTTCTGTTTGGGAGAGTTTTACTATACATTAGGGTTTAGTTCCATGCAGTTCTGTTTCAATAAAGTACAGTGATAGTTACAAGACAAATTAGATCGATTATAAGGTAGATGAATACAGCGACAGCAGATGTACTTCAGAGGGAATCACATACGGGTGGGTTGCATTGTCACAGTCAAACAATCACAGTCGTTTAAGTTTATCAAAGAGCTTTGTCATTCACCTGTGCAGTTTCACAGATACGAGTTAGGGTAGGTAAAGTCCATGTCCTCGAAGTACACAACTACCTATAGTCTAGATAATGAGTACAATGAGGCAAACCTTATTATGACCACAAAACCAGAAACTGGCGTTGAAATAAAATACAAGCTACAATTGTATTTAGTAACAGTAGGTTATATACTTAGATTCTAGGGAATGCACGAGTTCTAAAGGCACTCAGTAACAGTATTTTGAAATAGAAGAAAATTTTCCTGAGCTATACTTCATTCATCCTACTGATCCAGTAGCTTGTTCTTTAGCAGTAACAGAACAGAGATTAACGAGTAGTTTTACCTCATGGATGCCTCATTTTACCAGTCTCAGTAATGCAGTACTGTATTCACTGATACCTCTGACTACCACTTCACAGCAGTTCCAGGAAGACTTTAGAAACTAACGCTAGATGATTAGTCACTTGGTTGAGGGAAAAGTGAAATTCCTCTTCCAATTCTGGTTGGTAGCACCTTGGTTTGCAGTCTACATTCACCAGACCAGAAGTACAGAATTAAGGTTACGTAACAGGAAATGGCAAAACGTGGGATTCATGGTATGAAATAACAGCTGCAATGTCTAGAACATGGGGGGAAATATGTCCTGATTCAAATGTATTGATCACAGTAGAATCTGTAGGACTTTATATTTACTAATTCTAACATCTGGTAATATCTGGGATAGAGAGAGCTTTCTCATAAAACTATTTTCTTGAAAAGCTTAATCTGTCTTCCCAAAAAAGAGAGGCTGCTTCATTCAGCATTCCCCTAACTGCTTCTCCTCTTGTCCTTGACCTATTTAATCAGTCATTATGGTTTTGAACCTGTTCAGGAGCTTGATGAGATGAAATTCTGAAGACATGTATATGAAGATGAGCAGCAATCTGTAGGCATACACCAGTGGCATATCTCAGCATATCAAACAAGGATATGAACTTCAAAAGAACAAAACAGAACAAGTTAAAAAAAAACAAGTATTTTTTTAAATTTTCCCTACTACAAATTAATCTATACTTTAACCAGTCTAGTCAAGTGACAAGTTTAACAAGAATTTTAACATATAGAGTTGTCTATTTAAATGAATAAAAGAAAAAAAAACCAAAAAACAAACAGCATTAAACACTTAAGTCTGATAAACAAAGGTTGTTAGTCTGCAGTTAGCAGAATAAACAAACCATCTGAATTAAAGCATAATTACAAGAGAGATCTGTAAATTTCCTTTCACATTTCTGTTCCAAGGAAAGCAAGCCAGTCAGCTCCCAAAATACATGTTTACATGGCATCCTGGCACTCCCTCATTGACAGCTGAAATCTGAGCAAGGCAGAAATGGCAGAGCAGAACGACAGGGACAGTTCTCAATCCATTCCTTTAAGTACGCTCCAAATGAAAAGTATAAAATGAACGCTTACCAATGCTATCCATAGAACAATATATTCATCAACAAAACTGTTGAAGTACTGGTCCAAAAATAGAAGTCCTGGCCCAATAAATGCAGTGTCCTGAAGGCAGATTTCACTTTTTGTCATGTGAGCCACCTATGTTAAAAAACAAAACAAAACAAAAAACAACCAAAAAACAAACAAACAAAAAAACCCCACAAAACAAAAAAAAAAAGACGAAAAAAGGACAGAGACAAAAATGCAACACTGCAAGATCAGTGTAACAACCAGAAAACCTTCACCACAGTGATGAAAGGGCATGATATCTGTCATGGTTTAACCCCAGCCAGCAACTAGAACCACACGGCCTCTCATGCCCCCTTTCCCTCCAGAAAGGTAGGGAGAAAAGGGAGAAAAGGAGAGGAAAGGGGAAAAAAAACCCAACCTCATGGGCTGAGATAAAGACAGTTTAATAGAACAATGATGGAAAAGGAAAATAACAATAATAATGGTAGAAGAATATACAAGACAAGTCACTCTCACTGGCCGGTGAATTGGTTGCCCAGCCCAACCTGAACAGAGATTGTGGATTCCCCCCACCCTACCCTGGCCAACCCCCATTTGTATTCTGAGCATGATGTCTATGGTACGGAATATTCCACTGGCTGTTCTATTGTTCTGTCTGTGCTCCTTCTCAGCTTCTGTGGAAAACTGAAAAAATCCTAGACTAGTATAGACATCACTCAGCAACAACTAAAACAATATGCACTATTGACATTCCTTTCATACCAAATCTGAAAACACAGCAGCCACCAGAAAGAAAATCAACTCTATCCCAGCTGAAGCCAGGACACATCCTTACCCAGCAACAGCCTCCTGTCCCCGGTTCTTGGGAAGCAATCACCGGGCAGGCCAAGGGCTTCATAAATGCTACGGGCCTACTGCTCCCTGACAGTTTCTTTCTCAAGAACCAAGTAACCTCTTTCCAGGTTATTCAATCAATATACAGCGCTTTAATCAGTGATAACAGCTATTTGAATGATCAGTTGGTATTTTTTGACTTTCTGTAATAAGAGATGTGTATATGTCCTTCAGTGTTCTTTTGTAATATGTTACGTCTATACCAGTGCATTTTAGCTATTTGCAGAGGTTCCCCACTCTGTTTGTTCAGTGCTGTATTTGAAGGGTAAGGTGATGCAAGTGTATTACTGAAAATGAATACTATTCACTTGAAATGTTGTTTACAAGTCTAACATAGAAATGGTGGCTTTACTTAGCCAAAAGCTAACTATAAATTAGGCTTTTGCTTAGGTGAAAAGATGTGTTTTCACTGTTTAGTAGAGATAGTGATGCACACACAGAGACACTTTACAGAATGACCAAGAGACAAAGAAAGATTACTGGAGGGGAAGGATGGAGTCTCTTTCCCCCACACACCTTGATCCTTCCATATTTACCATTCTTGGAGACAGCTTAAGCTCACCTTTAATTTAGAGGCAGAAGAGTATTTTGTAAGAAGCTGGAGACCCAATAAAGGACATACAAAGAATCCATACTAGGAAGCTCAAACATGGCAGAAGGAAAGTTCTCTAGGTGCCAAGCTTGCCATAAGAAATCACCCTGTCATTCCTTGTTTCCATGCATTGTGGATACCTGGCAAATACGATTAAGGTACTGAGAAGTTCCTGTGAACAAAGAGGTCTCCTAGCATAATATAAATCATGTTCCACTCTGTGCCGAACAGCAAAATTCACAGAAAAGGCTGTGAGTGGCGCAATCTAAAGACAGGACAAACCACAAAGGCTTACATCCAGAGGAGAGCTGACAAAGGCTTCCACTATAAGCCAACAAAGGATGCATCTCTCCTGCTAAAGGGATCCACTGCAGGGAGCAATTCCTGGCTCACATCTGGCCTGATGTGCAGCAACTATGCAGGGTTAGCGCCCGTGGAGCAGCTCTGGCACATCCACGCAAACTGCACAGACCTTGGCTCATGTGCCCGCTGGGCCTCTCCCACCTGGTCATGCCTTAAGTCTTTACTGCTGTGTGCTCACTCCAGAGCGCCTGAAGGACAAGGCCTCCTGAAACAGTATCAGAAAACTGAGAGCGCTAAACCCACGAAATTCTTTCCCCACTGCCTTTACGGATTTGCCTCTGGAGCAGGCCATCCTCAAAGCTACACGTAAAGCATCAAGGGAAACATGGTTTGCTCAGAAGTGTCTGTGAGTCAGCTGACCAACATACAGTGATGACAGCTGGTTACAAGGACCCAGTGGTCCTCTGAAGGAGCAAGGGAGCCATGGTGTCTGACGGAAGAGGTGAACTGCCTCAAGTTCAATCCTAAGGCTCAGTCTTCTTATCAGCATTCTCTCTCTTGAGCCACATTAGTAGCTCAGTAGGTGAACTCCCGTTTAGCAAGAAAGTCTGTAGAATACAGGTTTTCTAGCGTTTGAAAAATGTCATGTTGGGGAAAAAATATTGAAAAAAACCCACCACAGCTGGCTGGAGGTTGTGTTTTAACCCCAGGCAGCAGCTAGAACTGCACAGCCACTCACTCACTTTCCCCAGTTGTGATGGGGGAGAGAATCAGAAGAGTAAAAGTAAGGAAAAATTCATGGGTTGAGATTAAGACAGTTTAATAGGTAGAGCAAAAGCTGCACGCACAAGCAGAGCACAACAAGGAATTCACTCACTGCCTCCCATCGGCAGGCAGGTGTTCCGCCAACCCCAAGAAAGCCGGGCTCCATCACACCTAACGGTTACTTGGGAACACAAAACGCTGTAACTCCAAACACCCCCCCTCGCTTCCTTCTTCTTCCCCCAGCTTTACATACTGAGCATGACGTCATATGGTGTGGAATATCCCTTTGGTCAGTTGGGGTCAGGTGTCCCCTCCCAACTTCTTGTGCACACCCAGCCTACTCGCTGGCAGGGCAGCATGAGAAGCAGAAGAGGCCTTGACTGCTCAGCAACAACTAAAAACATCAGTCTTTTACCAACACTATTTTCATCTCAGATCCAAAACACAGCACTATACCAGCTGCTAGCGAGAAAGTTAACTCAATCACAGCTGAAACCAAGACACTGGATTACTGCTGTTAACAAATATGTAGTAAGGAGGATTTTTGTTTTTTAATCCATTGATGAGGTTTTTAATAACAAAAGAGATAAAGATAGAAAAGTTTATATCTTCATTTTAATGACTAAAGTAAATTCCTATTTCAGATAATTAAATCAGAAGCCACAGCACTGTTATTGAGGCTTGAGCGACCACAGTTATGATGTTAAAGACAGCCACTATATTTCTAGGAGTAAATTAAACAAAACTGAAAGTTCTCACTGGTACGTTCAACAATAAGTATGCGTTTGCATCAGTGTCATATATAATCTCTCTGTAGGAACCTGAGTCTAGTTCAGTGTCGTGGTCATAATGAGACTGGTAATACAGCGGCAGAGCAGAATGGGAAAACTTGCATAGCGCCCACTGATCCAGCAAGCGTTAAGCCAAGAACCAGTTTAGTTTTAGGAAGTTTAGGACTGAAACAAGATTCCTTACCACCAATTTCTGTGAGATTTTAGCATTCACAAATCCAAATGTCAAGACATACAGGCAAGAGTGTTTTTCAAACAGCTGAGTTGTGGACTTTTTATAGATCATAACGGCCAGCGTGATAAGCAGTCCAATGTGCAGGCCTGGTGAGAGAACACTTGTTCCCTGAAATACAAATGGACAGAAAATTTGTCTTAGGCTTCAGTCACACAGTGGGGTCCGTATTTTACACCTATTGCAAATCCCATTAAACAAAACCAGAGTTACCAAAACTCAAGGAAAGTCCATTAGCATTATGGCAATGCTGTTAGTATCCTTTGCAGTGACCATAAATCAATTCTGTAAGAAAATTCATTGCTGGTTCCTGCGACAGAAGAAATCTGGTAACAGGTAGGGGGAATGAAGTCTTTGCTTTAGCTGTCCAACACTCATATGCTTGTCTACTTAAATGCTTAAACAAATAAAACCCTTACGATCATCTGAAATGCAATAAATTATGGGCGTAAATTATTCAAACCTCATTCAGATTTTTAAAGCAACTTACTGCTATTGTAGATCCGTTCTTTCCAACCCCTCCACCAAAGATGACACGGAAGTAATTGAAAAAAGAAAGTGCTGTTCCACATAGTATGCCAAAAACTGCAAAGAACTTCAGTTCTAAGCCCACCAAAGGGACCTTAGCAGGAAAAACAAGAGAAACATATTAAAAGTAAAGGATAACACCTTTTTTAAAAAGTGATTAAAAAAGCTACTGATTGTAGTAAAACAATTGTTTTATTTGAGCTCTTGCTTTCCTGGGAACAAGCTCTGGAGGACGGTGTTTCCTTACTAAGGAGATGCCAAACTTCTTCTGTAACGTTTAAACTCAACTTTTGATTACTTAAGTTCTGGTCTTGAAATTCAGCAAGATCGTACTGTGTTTGTCCTTAGGATGTTCTTCAAATATTTTTACTACATAAGCAAAAAGTTGACACAGGGTACTGCATCACCAAGGCACGGGATGGGGGAGAAGGATAATTCCTTCTGTGTCACTGAGTAACACAATACTGAGCCACAGGAAACACAAACACCATCTGCCCGCTTTGTGTTTTGGTACATGTTATTTGTATGCTGTATCTTTGCATTTAGAATAGTCTCCAGATACAAATTTGAATTAAACAGTTACCTTTCAGAATCAATTGCAGTTTCAAGGAAACTTCCAAAGGCAGCAGAGGATTTAAAAAAAAAAAAAAAAAAAAAGAAGTAGCAATAAATTGAAACCATTGACTATATTTTTGAATATAGATTGTTTTGAGATACAGCATAACTACCGCAAATTTTAATACTGAAGAAAAATCTATTATAATGGAAGTCTAATGCACTTGCTTTATTTTCCAACATGAATATAAGCTGTTTGAAAACAGAAAAAAAGCATCTTGCAGGATGGAAAAGGAAAGGAAACAAAGTTTAGCTAAACATTTCTTAATTGCTCAGTAAACTCATGAATTAATTACAATTACTTGGTGGTTTATATTTAGATTAATTTGCATTGGTTATCAATAGCATGGAATGGTCTCAGCTCTACCATGCGCTATAACCAAACAGAACTATACATTTCTGAGTAAAGACCCTAGGAAAGATGAAGATGTTAGTCTAATATGCTTTTGATCCCATACACTAAAGTGCAACTTTAAAGATCAGAATAAAAGCCAGAAACAGGGATATGTTTTTGGACAGAAAACAATTATTTAATTATAGATATTTACGATGGATGTGACATAACTGTTAAAAATCAGTACATCTCCATCAGCACATAAGTATGGATTATTTCACCAAAACCCCCCTAACTTCATCTCATGGTTTTGTTAGATTGAAGCATTCACTCTTTAAATTTTAAAACAAAGCATCCCATAAATCAGTTAACTGAACAGAAATTTATGGCTTAGAATAAAATATACAAAAGAAGTAAAACTAGAACAAAAACTGTTTGTTAAAGCTTAAGTATCTGTGCAGTATTAGTTCCAGATCAGAAGTTTAGATGTGGCAGATGGGGTCTTTTTTCCTTTATATAGCTCTAACTTTGTGCAGAGGAAGTCACACCATTATACCTAAGTTGACTACAACATAAAAATAACCTGCGTTTGTACAATAAGCTAAACCAGAGCATCAGACAGCTAGTAGGTGTTGATGGGACTTGCACAGGACAGCTTCAAATACCACAGGAACTGCGAATACTTAACAGGAACTGAATACTCAGCAGCAACTCTGAACACTCAATACACTCACCTTATACTCCCATATTGCTGTGCCACCATATGCAGATATCAAGAGCAGCATTGTTATGGCTATCTGAACTTCAGTTACATCAACTCTATGAAGGAAGAAAAGAAAAAAAAAAAAAAAAAAGAGATTTAGTTAAGGAAAAGGTCTTTTTGCTGTAAGTGTAAGGCAGCGGAGGGGGGACCGCTGACTTCAAATTATCTCCTTCAAATTACATCAGTGTACATAGAATATGATTTTCCTTGACTGAGAATGGGAGTCTATATGGAGGCACACATGTTTAGCTAAGTTTTATAATTAAATCTATACTCCTTATCTAGAGCAAGCTATATATAATTTTAATAGGGGGAAAAACTTTAATGAACACATTGGTAACTATTGGAGAATTTTGTGTAAATTTACAGACTTGTTGATTTGTAAGTATCAAATCAAAGTTTAAGGCAAGCTCACAGTAAATGCAATCAAACATTTCCATGAAAAGCGTATCATATAGAAGTATGGACCACAAAGAGGAGGCTGGGACAGAAGAGATTTCTTTAAGACATCATATCATGAAAATCTGACAGCTAAGGGCAGTACTTTGACGACTGAGTCAGTGGATAGCAAAGCATCTGTCTTCTTTCAGAGGACATATAATTGATATCTTGCTTTTTTCCATAAAAACATTTTTAAAATAGGGTGCCTTGTATGCTCTCTAGACTCTGTATTCCCCCTTTTTTGTTCTCAGACATGATAGTCAACTCCCTATTACTGTGTTTGATTGATGAAATGTTCTGAGAAGACCTGAATATATAAAAAAAGTTAAGCAGAGGCTCAAGAAAAAAAATAAACAATACTTTCAATAAAGCTTTAAAATGAAAAAAAAAAAAAAGTGCACATCTAAGGTTCCTTTTATGCTACCAAAGGTTTTGAGACATATACCTGATCTTTGTACTGAAGCTACCAGCAAACAGTGACAATGGATGTTGAAAATATATCATTTCCTTAAGCAGTTAGAATAAATTTGCTGTTTTAAGGTATTATGACCAAAGTCAACACGTACACAACTTGCTTAGCACGTGAACTTTGCACAGGAAACAGTGTATTTTTAAAGGGAGATAGGAATCAGCTCTTGGCTAATGGAAAACATTTATCCGATCTTGATAATCACGGTAACAATAAACTCTCTTCTGTCATCAGAAAGACAGTGATAAAACACGCTAAGTTTCATCACAAGCTTCAGACTCTTAGTCTTAGAAGAGGCAAAGTTTAAGCTGCAACTCAGTGATGAGCTAAGGTGCTTGTCACTGCTCAAAGGTGTTGGAATGGGTCGTCCTCTCCGTGCTACGCCATTGCGCTCCCTGACTGGTACCAGCTGTGGTCCTCAGCGGACCGTGAGGTGAACCAGTTCAGTTGCTAGCCCAGGGCAGGCTGTTACCTGCTGCCCATTTCACGAATTGGCCTGACGTCAAGTGACAGAATCTGTGCAGGGGGGAAATGGCACAGCGCTGCTGGGAGGGGGCTTTGCCCTCTCTACCAGGGATGAAGTGTCACACCTGCCCAGTCACTGCGGTAGCGGCACGCTGAACTTGTCAGTTACAGCATGCAAAAGCGTCCACATGCAAGCACAAGCGTTCAGAGTCTGCACTCTGTACTATCAAAACCTAGATGTTTAAGCTGTGCTGCATTTGCTGTTGCTGGTGGCGGGAGGAGGCTCAAACTTGAAGTTGTGTCATTAAATGTGCCAAAGTTTAGTACTTAATTTTACAGAGGCTCAGGGCTGTTGGTTGCAACACAGCCCAAATCAGAGTCTGAAGATTTTAATCAAGCACCGTGCGGTGTTGTACATAACCTGACAGTGGCCCAGTACCCAGCGGCTCTGATCCTTCCTGGCCATCAGCGCTAGGACTCTCTCATCTGTTATTTGACTTCTAAAATCAAGCGCTGCTAACTCAGGAAGAGCATCAGTGAAAGCTTCTGTCCATGTTATTATGTATTACCATATTTAGAGCAATATACTAATGCCTTCATTTAGACTCTCACCTCTATGCTTAAGAGCAATAGAATTGCGAGCCTTGAAAAAAAAACTCTGATCTGTTCCACTAAACTGAAATAAGTTATCTTGGAGAAAATTTGTGTCTATTTAACTTCAAACAGTAAGAGCAGAGAATGCCAGGCCATCCCGAACTGCTTGTACTATGCGCTATCACTATATTTACGTAGAAGCCATTACATTTTTAATGAAGAACTTTTTATGTGGTACAGGAGTCTCGGTGCCTTCCTGATGCAGGGAAATCATTCTCACATTTTATGCAGGAATGAAAGGCACAGAAAAGGAATCATGTACGCAAAATGCCAGAGCTCATGGCATAGTCCATCTCCCTTCAGTGTAGTCCGCTGTCAGGTATGGAAATTATCTTATTTCAGCCATCACTCGAAAGCGTCTTTTTTTTTTTTTTTTACAGCACAAAACATCCTTTAAAAAAGAGGAGGATGGATAGGCAAGTAGAAGAGTTATAGTTTGTGTGGTAAGATGCATTATCAGCAAATAAAAAAGAGCTCTTGGCATTACCACAAAGACAGCTTTCTTTTGATACAGACATCAAACAGTATGCAGGACAGCTGATCACTGGCCTGTACACCCAGCGATGCTCAGATTTGTTAAGGTGCTTCTTGCAGGTCAGAGCTAAGTAGGACTATAAACAGGTGACTTAGCACGTGACCAGGATTAGCAGGAGGATAGATAGCCTTCATCTGCCATGTATTTCCAATTTCGCTGCTACAGAAGTCTCTGATCTTTCCCTCTTTTCAGAAATCATTACTAAATTGCAGCTTACTGTTTAAAAACAGCAAAGGGCCATGGCTCGGCACCACCACAGCTGCAGGAGGGTGCAGCAATCCCCACACTATTAGGAGTTAAATTGAAATTGTTATCTTCTACATGAATGTCATGATTCCTCCTCCTACACTGCAGTGAGGACAGATGAAATTTCTACCAAGCCATGAACAGCATCACAGCAATCTCTAGAACAGTGACCTAACGCAAAACCTAAAGGACATCAAAGCCAGTACGAGCCAGATTAAAAGCAAAGGCCCTAGAATAAACCTGAGGTAATTCTTCAGCTCTGTGAATCTCCTTGCCAAGGGATGCAATGGTTGCAGAGAGCTCATTCGAAGGAAAACTGAAGATGTCTATGGAAGGGAAAGTCATTAGCCTGGGAATTTCTCTAAAAATGTACGTGGTTCAGAGTCCGCTGTGCTGACGCTGTTCTGTGGCTGGGAGGTTACAAAGGGAGGTACCGTGGTACTGTAGTTGTTGCTCTGTCCCTACTCCTATGCAGAGCGCTTGTTGACACTGCAGGCAAGACCCCTCCGGCCTCAGCCTGCATGGGGCCTGTATGGGTTCCGAGAACAAATCCACAGATAAAAAAGCCAAATGCATGCAAACAAAGCATACACAGCTAAAATCAGCTGCTAAAAGAACAAGTCCTCTACTCGGTATTATGCAGAGTTTTAAAGTTCTTGCCAAGTAAAACACAAGCCTGCTAGGGTAGAAGGGAGAGGAGGAAGAAGGTGAGAGGAAGAGATAACGGGGGGGAAAAAAAAAAATCAAGACAAAATGGAAATCAAGTAGCTAGCGTTAAGCCACATGTAATTCTAAAGATACCTACTTACTTTCCAAACCTTAGTATGCCTGATACATATGTCTGCCAGTGAGCAGAATAGAACATGAACAGTCCCACAAAACAACAGAAAAATAACCAGTCAGGATTTGTTCCTAGTCGGATTGCTATGCAGGATCCAAGGACAACAAAAACTGAAAAGCAGAAATGAACATGTTAGTCATATACCCTCTTTGCTTGCAGTTAAGAGAAATAAAAAAAAATAAATAATAAAATAATCACAAGGCATTTTCCATTACTATAACAAAGTAACTATATGACTAACAATATGACTTTACTGAGTAGCTACGCTCAGGGACAGTCTGGCAGGAGAGACCACAACACGGGACTCCTTTTCTTTCAAGCGAGGGCCCTGCCTCCAAGCCTACAGTGGTCCTTCTCCCTTCTTCTGGCCTTGTCATCTCATGTTCTTTGTATCACTGACAGCTCCAACTGAAGAGCCCAGCTCAGAGAGACTGGTAGTTGCACTTCTCTGGGAAGTGAGGCATAAAGGATGTACCAACTCCCAGGGCAAATGTTTCAGCCATTAACCTTTTATGGAAGTACAGGCATTGCCACTAACAGCAGCTAGGTTATGGAAAGTAAAACTGAGCAAGGCTTACTTTTTAAGGACTCCAATCAACCATTTTTTAAACTCCTTCTTCTAAGGAATATAAGTTATCCTTCTCTTAAATGCCAGGCTGGATGCCCTATTACCAAACTGATATTTTGCACCTCACTCCTAAAGTGCAATCCTTAGTTTTACATGCCAGCATCAGTCTTTTATGTCCTTACAATCCTTTATTAGGCATCACCTGTACCCTACTGGAAAACACAGGCTATGTATAGTGAAGAATCTCTAAGCATACTCTTATGGAATTCTTTGTTCACCATCTAGCTCATTCAAAGAACACTGTACACAAAGACGCAGAGTAAGTAAGAGCAGAACGCATGTCACTCAACATCTGCCAAAGGTACTTCTGAAATATCCTCCCCGATACCGGTCAAGGACACAAAGGTCAGGGGCAGCCTTGGCTGCAGTGACCAGTAGACGGTGAAGTTATCCTAAAAGGAGGGAACATGCTGACCCTGCTCTGAGCAGGGGGTTGGACTAAATGATCTCCAGAGATCCTTTCCGACTTCAACAAATCTGTGATTAATCAGCTCCTCTTGAAAACAGGTAACTTTTTAAAAACTAGCATGGGTAACAGTAGGTTAAGGCTACCTGTGGAAATAGAGTCGCAACCATGATCAAAGAGTTCTCCTAGAGGAGAACTACTGTTTGTTCTTCTGGCTTGCTTCCCATCAATGGCATCCAGAGACTGGTAGATAAAAAGTCCTAATGCACCCAGGATGTATGCCCAAAAAGGTGCCTGAAAGAGATTCACATAAAAGGTCACTACGCAGTTCCCAATTTCCAATTAGCTGATAATCTATTTCATTAAAGATAAAATATTGTCCAGCACAGAACTATACTACATTGTGCTATTTTTTACTTAGTTAATGGACAAACCAAATTCCTTGCGCTAGTCTCTACATGAATTGTAGTAACTACTATAATGAAGTACTCCAGATACACCAGCGAAACACAGGTTCTCCTATTTATTAAAAAAAAACAAAACAAACAAAAAAAACCTTTAGCCTCTTCTGCATCAACTGACTTTTTTTTCCCGCCACCTCAAAACCACATCTCTAGAATTATTTGTATCCTTTGTGCTGCAAAATATGGTGAAAATAAAATTAATCTTTTTTAAAGAAAGTAGTAGTAAGACACTAAAGTTCTCAGCAGTTTGTGATAGATGCTTAGATGATTTGCTCAAATTTACAACATATAGATATAAAATCCCATCATATTTTACTAAATAAAGACTTCAGCTTTTAGGGAATTTTTTCCAACATACAAAATTTGACTATGTAGGCACTTTGGACAAGGGTTTGAAGAAATTAAATCATTCACTAAATATGAAGGAGCAACTATCTGCTTAATATAGCCTATCAGAATTTCAAAACAAGCTGTGAATCAGTTACATTAACATTAGTCTTAGATTCAAAGGAACTGTTGTACAGGAGTGTCTTTCAAAAGTATTATTTTCATACACACAGTCTTTGTCTAGGAATTAATTTTTACTAAAAATTATTTATAACACCTTTTGTACAAACTACAGGTAACATTTTTGCCTCAAGTAGTTTCCAGCAGTATCCTTAACATTTAGATGCACTGTTCATGAAGAGAGTCAAAAAAGTTGGGTATAAATGCTGGAAATGCAACTCGCAGGTTAAACCAGTGAACAGCCACAGGCAGTCACAGATCTGAATCCTTTCCCACTGCCAGGTAGAGGACAGCTGCTGTGGTTCTCTACGCCTCTGCAACTCCTCTCCTGCAGCACAAACAGACCAACATGATTACATGTATTTCCTAAGTCCAGCAAAGGCTATTAAGCAGATTTAGACAACAGATCAAACCTCAGTGAGCTGAGATTTGTCCACACTTACATAAACCTAGCGTCACTGCTGGGGAAAAAGGAAAAATGACCGTTGCCGATCCGTTCATAGGCCAGCACGGGAGAAGGGAGCAGCGAGAATGCAGATTAGGTGAGCTGCTCCTCCAGACGTTCCGTTTTCTTATCATCCTTACACTCACTGACTTAAGAAGAAAGTGATGCCTCCAGTTAGACTGACCACACCACACATCCTTCCCAAGAACCAGCATGCTTAAGGGAGGTTCAGTTCTGGACAGCTTTTTTTTTTTTTGCTGTTATTTAAGACTTCCTCATGGCTGATACACTATGTTATCGCTTAGTTCTGTGCTTTTAATATGGAAACAATATCGTCAGCAAATTTATGATTTTCCTGCTACCCAGTACTTGGATAATTTCATTAATAAAACATTCCACCATTTAAAGTCAAACGGTTGGCTGCTTCGCCCAGCTTTGAAGCAAAAGACAGTCAAAGACTTAGGGACACCAGCTATAGGTGAGAACCCTGGATTTGTATGTACCTAGAAATCCAGAAAACTTAGAAAATTCTTCAAAATTGGCAAGGTAGTCTTTGCCTTTAATTCAAGGAAACGAAGAAAAATTGTAATCAAAGATCATGTTGGAAGCCTTGAGCAGGTAAAAGAGGATGAGTAGATACTCTCATTCCAATGGACATTTAACATACTGTTATCTGGTAACACCCCTAAAGATCCCACTATAGAAATCCAGGTCAAGTGACAGCAATACATGTTTGATGTTTACCAATGGAATCAGTGGAGTTATTTAGGTTTCTTTTCCCTTGTTAGTCCAGTTAAACAAAGGAATTTTGTGTCGGGCAATGGGGTTAAACCAGGGAGTGAGTTCTTAGCCATCTTTTGGAAAAGTTTATCTCCTCTGACGAAGGGGGAAAGACAGAGCCTGTGGACAACAGGAGGAGCCTACTGCCACCCTGGGTTCACGGATCACCGAGAGACACCTGGAGGAACAGAGAGCTCAAGAGCCTCTCCTGGCACGAGCTCACTTGGTCAGATGCTCTGCAGGGAGGCAGCGGCTCCCACTTCTTGCTCTGTACCTTTCCAAAACAGAGGGCTGTCAGCCATTGCTCAGGTACTTCAGGACATAGAAGCGCAGTTAGGACCCTGTTGAAGCTGTTTTACTTGTGATATAACCCACATACTAAAGGTACCACAGTACCTATACTGGCTTTTTCAGAACAACTTTGTTGTACAGAGAATAACAGATATTCTTAAACAAGGCAACTCCTGACACAGACCTATGAATGAAGCATGACAAGCAGAAAGGCGAGGAGAAACCACTGGTTTCACTGTAGTCCTTTAAAGTAGTATTTTAAAGACATTTCCAATTTTATCACCAATATTACTGTGAAGTGCCACAAAGGTAATCTGCAATGTTTAACGAGGCATCCTTACTGTGACACACCTCTACTAGTTACAAAAAGATAGCTTGAGATCTACTGAAACTTGTCACGCTAATCCCTGGATTTTGGCAAGTGAACCAGACCACACCTAGCAATTCTGTCCAGAACGCCACTGGTTTTTTGGCTGCATTAGGCTCCCCTCCTTTTGCAACGATCTACCTATAACTGAAATAGATTTTAGTTTCCTTTAAAATCATCAGGTTCTCCATATCACAGACAAAAGTATCCAGGGCTAAATATGCCAGCCAAATTCCCTACCCACTCTGCATTCACCCCCCCCAGCATGGGGCACGTCACCATTTAAGTCAAATGCCAGAGTGTGGGCAGTTTCTTTTTTAACTGGATCATTTCCATCAGTCAGGACCAGAAATCTGTTATGGCACACTTTTTTATCATTAGCCGTAATGCTGGGTATTATCACAATCTTTTGAAATGCAAGCTCCATGAAACACAGCCTCAATTCTAACCGAAGCAGAAACCTTGTGTGGTGGTTACTGCAGTCAGTTTGTCAAAGTTTCCATAACCCACAGAACACGATGCAAGAACTCTTGTTCAAGGTAACACCACCTACATTTACCTTACCTCAAAACAAGTGTAACACATTAAATGTAAAAATAAACAAATAAATGAGCTTCAACGTGAACTTCTCTTAGTAGGTCTTTTTGATAAAGCAATGGCTTTTGTCCAGTTGCAAGTTATAGTACAGGTATAATTATTAAGACTGCTGATGCATTAGCTCCTGCTGGGACAAATCAAAGCAACGGTCCCCCCAGATTTCAAAACTAAAATGCTCTGCTCTTTGATGATCTGGAAAGAGGGAGTGAGTTTTCATTCTCTTCCCAGCAAGGATCATCTGTATCAATTAACACCTGTAGCGGATGCATGTGTATCCCCACAGCTGTGGACAAGGGAAGAAGATCCTTGTAAGAACAGGGGAACAGGTGTCTGAGTGAGCTTAGAAACACAATCTGGGGCATTTCATCCCTAGGCTGTCAGTTCAAATTTAAGCCAAAGTGGTAATAACCAAAGGTCCCCTGTGATCAACTATGCATTTAGCAGATTAAATGAATGCTCTGATGTTTTATCAGTAAAATACAGTTTTCCAAATCACCGAAGGTGAACAGAGGTTTCTGAATTTCCTAAAAGCCACAGATTCTCTCTGCTATCTGCCTTCCCAATACAGCTACAGCTGCCATCTCCTCCACCTTCACACATGCCTGGCTCTCCATCCAGGGATGTCCCCTGCCAGCTTCCCACACTGGACCCAAGTAGTTTGCAAATTAGAGAAGTGGGAGCAGTTGAGAATGCTGACATGGCTGACAGACTCAGCAGAAAGGTCAGGAGGCTCCCAATAATCATCAGCTTTTCACTGATGAGGTGTTTATTATCTCTGCCCAAAGTTATATCCTGTCCAAGCAAATGTATTCTTTGGCCAGAGCTAGATGCTATTCTCATGGAACTAGAAAAGAACACAAACCTGGGCGGGGAAAAAAAAAAGAAGGCTTCTCTGCTTCAATTAAAAAGGATGTCTGAAAGATGATACAGCCCCAGAATCTTGTCACACACAGATTTGGTACAGCAAGGTCTGGTCATCTACTGAACCAGAGGGTGTCAAAATAAAACACAAGGTCTGGTCATCTACTGAACCAGAGGGTGTCAAAATAAAACAATGTGCTTATAGCATTTGACAGGTATGTGTGGCATGCCTCTCCTTCAGGAAAAAGCGTAGGTTGAACAGCAGTCCTCCTTCTTCTGCTCCTGTGATTCCACACCACAGAAGAGCACGGACAGCTGCAGAAGACTACATGTGTCAAGAAGATACTTTACCACTTCTTTCAAGCAAAGCCCTCAAGCCCAGAAAGTTCAACAGCCCCAGCTTATGCAACATTGAAAGATTCAGCCCCCGTTGATTTCTCATCACATTTTGTCATAATCTCGCTTCCTCAATCCAACACTACAGCAACTAATTTCGCCCTATTTTACACAGCCCCTCTCTGGAACAGAGCCAGAATAGAGACAGACATTTTTACTGGACTTCCTCCCTCTTCCCCCCAAAAATGGATCATTTCTCTCACTTTTGTTTTGCACAAAGCACTATGTACAATTGTGCTAACAGCAGGAGAAGGAAAGGGGCTGTTTAAACCTGTATTATAGCATGAGGAGAGGGCAGGGAGGAAAAAAATAATAATCACACTGAAGCCCAAGTGCACTTCATGCATACCAGGGACTCCCTGCATTCCTTCAGTATCCTCCTCTCCCCATCAAGCTCCCTCTGAAAGAGCTCCCGTCCTCCTGTGGTGGGGTTCCCTAACCTTTGTTATCTTCCTTTATGCCAAATACCTCTTTCTCCCATTCACTACTGAGCGCTCCATTCTTCACTGGAGGGTACAGAACGGACTGAATTCCCCACCCAACTCAGTGCTTTGCACCTCTCCTTATCGGGTCAGGGGCTTAATGCTTCTTCCTTTGCACCCCCAGTTCATACCAGCTGTTCCAGTTCTCCCTATTGTCTACTTCTTTATTCTCTCTCCCACAAAGCTCAGTTGTGCCCTTGCTATTTACACAATTGTCAATATCTGTCAATATCTTCTCATCATTTCTCCCTCTGACAGGAAAAAACTCAAGACAATGCCTCTTTCAGTTTAAAAGATGGGGTTTAAGGGTTTTGTTGGTTGGGCTTTTTTTTTTGTGGGCTTGTTGTTGTTTTTTAAAGTGAGTTTTAAAACAGATTGAGAGAAGCAGAGACAACACCTCATTAATGTTCCTCTCCCTCCAAGCAGTTAATAGTAGAGCTAGCTGGAGCCACCTAGACCCTCCCCTGCTTTTTGGTCTCCCTAGACACAGGGCTTTCTAAATAGCATGTTTCAGCAAGTTATAGCACCCCTTTATAAATGCACGACACCATCTTTTAAGCAATTCTACAGAGCTGACCATCACAAGCCTCCCTTCCCTCTCTAACTCTGCTCTCTGCGTAAGAACCCTTGAGCACCTGCCCCCTTTTGCCGTCCTTGCCCAAACTGCAAATCCGTAATTCATGCTTTTCTCTTCCTGTATTCCTCTACTCCCAGTAACCTGCAGGAAATTATAGACAACAGAAACAAAGGCCTTAAAAAAACCAACAAACAAACACCAAATAAATGAGACATGATGATCTCCAGAGGTCCCTTCCAACCTTGACCATTCTGTGATTCTGTATGATGGAACCTAGGAAGCTGCGAGCACGCAGGACAAGTCTTTATCACTGGATGAAATCTACTCTGATCAGTTTTGGGGACTCTCTGCTTAGATCCCGCTATAACGGCTACAAGACTTTATTTTTTTTTTAAATAGATATCAATTCTATACAAAGAAATAATTACTGTTAGCATGAACTTTTGTCCTAAAATTCTAGCTTCCCATGGTATTTTAGAGAGACCTGTGGCTGAGCTTGAAGGATTACGGAAGCTAGGCCCCGCCATGAGCAATCATGAAAGCAGCAGGATCAGTTTCCTTTCTCCTTTTTCATAAGATAGAGAATTACATTTAGCCAGTTTTCTTCCTAGTGTCGATGCAAGGAAAACATTCACATGTCATTTTTCCCCCGAATGGGAAGGGATAACGAGAGCTTAATGTGCAAAACCTAATAAAGTAACTATAGCTGCTTCAGAGCAGTCAGCTTGCAGTAGAGCAAAACAGTTCACTGCCAAATGGTGGGGACAAAACGGAAACCCTCACCTAAGAAGTGCTCCTTTTATACACTAATGCAGCAAACACACACAATTCATTAAAGTTAGTTAAAGTCACTAACTAAAGCAACACTTTTCATATATTTCACAATATTTTATAACGCCAAAACATATTGTGCTAGTCAGTAACAAACTGGCTTTTAGTAGCTATCGATGCTGATGAAGATAAAAAAATAGCGTATAAGGAAATAACAGCTACACAGTAAGAGAACAAAGGAGCATTGTATGGTTTTAGACATTAGTTGCATTGTGTGGGGGGAGAAAAAGTATTATTAAATTGCGGAATTCACTGCAATAGGACATAATGGAAGCTGAAAGTACAAACAGGTTGAAAACAGATAATTCAAAAGGCAAAATCATGAAGTAAGAGGTGTCTGTGGGGAAATAGATCCATCAGTTGCTCTTCTAGCAAGTAACCTGAGTAGAATCCCTTGCTGAGAAACCCCTAAACCACTGGTTTTTGGCAGCTGGAGGGTATATCCGGGAAAGATCTCTTTTCTAAGCATCTGCTAGCAGCTACTCTCCGAGGGACTTCAGCTACCAGTCTTACTTGTTTCAGTGTTTTCAATAAAGGACTAATAGAAATGGCCCACTAAAGACTGGTTAAGGAAAAAACAACCAACCACACAAACTGACTCATAAAAAAACCCTCCACCTAAACCCAAAACCTGCTTGTTATTTTATCTGAGTCTTCTAGTCCGTGCTCCTACACTTGCACCGAGAGAATATAACAAGTCCTTGTTAGTACATCAGGTAATCAAGATTTGTTCACAAATGGAAGAGGTGGCTCGGCAGTACAGAGAGATGATGTTGAAATGCCCTATGCTATTAGTTCAGCCTGCGATTCAATCACCTTTAACATCATTTTCAGTTCCACCTTCCCCCTAGCTCTTCCAGCCTACACATCCTAGTCAAAAGTACAAATTAGATATTACAACAGTACACATAGCACCTATTAATGTTGCAACAGTTCTACCTTTTAAAAAACCCACCCAGAGCCATGACATCTCAGGTGGAAGACAAGCTGAGTCATTAAACACGTGGAAGAGAGATAACAATGCCCTAAGTGATACCGCAAGAAAAAGTGAAGGCTGTTCTCACACTGGAGAGGCAAGAAAAAACCAACAGGATAAGGAGCCTAGCTTTATACTACATATTTTTAAAGGATATACTAATATCCGAACAAGGAAGTTTAGTCCAAACTGTAGGTTCTTATAAAATTCAGCTTCCATAATTAAAAAAACCAAAACCAGTAAAGTTCCTAAAACTCAAGCTAGGCTTTCCTGGAAGGAATAATTCCCTGCAACACAACCTTTTTCTTTTTGTCCAAGAGCCCTCAAGGGAAAAACAACTTAAAATTTACTTTCTGCTTTTTTTTTTTTCTTAATAGCAAAGAGAAGAAGCTAAAATGAACATCCAGGCACATAGCTGGCACAGCATTGATATCTACATCACAAAACTAAGCTAAAGGTAGCAGTTCCACAAGAATTTTCATACTGAAAGTGCCACTAGAAGACAATCTACAGTTTCCAACCATTTACTTTCATCTCGATCTTCCCTTCTCACACTGCCTGCAATGCACAGAATGCCTCTACCTGGTGATGCAAATCAGGGAAACGATGAGGGTTAGACCAAAGCAAAGTTAATTTTGATCTGGGTCAGCTTCCTGATATGTCTGCCACAAACACCTCTGCTAAAACAAAGGACAAAGCAGCTACAGAAAACGAAGGGTGCTTCCGTCAACAAGAATGCTCAGCAAAGTATATCTATGTTATTAAAAAACCCCAATCAACCACCACCTCTGCCATTAGGATTTAAGCCCACCAGAACACAAGAAAAACAACAGCCACCCTTCAAGACATTTTACCTACACAAAGCAATTTTCCCCTGGTATTTCCCACCCACAAAGACTCTACATTGGGAAACTCGTAACAGGCTGGGAAGCTCCGACAAGAGCTCCTTAAATCGTTAGAGAAACTTTAGGCAACCCAGTTTAAGCGACAGCAGCATCGGCCCACATTAACATGCCTGTTTTCCCTCCAGAAGCTAAAGTAATTAAAACATTTCCCACGTGAGGATGGGAAGCATTTGAGCTGCTGTCAGCTAACACATCTGCGACACAAGCCAACCTCCGTTCTGAACTACGTGATGCTGCAGTGGCGTCAGCCGTGCCCCGTGGCCAGCTCTGCCCTGCGCCGGGGCACATCCCGCACCCTCTCCCCCAGCCTGAAGCTGTTTTGACCTCCATGGCCCCTCTGTCACAGCCCTCCTCTTGAGAAGGGAGGGAGCTGACACAGCTTACGTCTCCTTGCCAGCAAGCTGCCCAAGCAGAGGCACGCGTGTGGGATGTAAGGTGGTCCCTGGAGGAGGCTGGGGTCCCACACGCCAGGGTGAGCCCGGCTACACCCTCCGCAACATCTGGCGTGGGCCAAGCACTGGGTCAGAGCTCCATCCCCATGGGGAGCTCTGGTCAGCCAAGGGCCGGGGAGGAGAGAGGAGCCCACCGAGACTCACCCTTCCACGCGACCCCCACAGCATTTCAGTATTCAAACCTTAGCGCCCATCTCCAGCCTGACCCCTGCTAGCCCCAAATCCTGACCCCCGCATCACCGCTCCCACGGTTTCTCAGGGGATACCCGCACCGCTACCTCAGCCCGTCCCCCCTTCCTCCATCCCTCCCTCCCTCTGTCCCTCTCTTGCTCCCTTCTGTCCTTGGGCCCCTTCCTTCCCCTCTACACAATGTCACACAACAGCTTGGCTTCTTCTTTTTAGCTTCTCCTGACTTAGCTTCATACCCGTGAAGCCAAAGAGACAACAAGGCCGGCTCGAGCAGGCAGCAGGGCTGCTTTCTTCCCTCCGCCCCCTGGGCCGGGAG